GACAAGCCCGGAAGGAAAAGAGCAAAATCAACATCAAGATAAAAACTGCCATTGTCACCTCCCCACAGGTCTCACCCACATCTGTGTCACCCAGTCCACGACCAAAAGACAAGCGCAGTTTCTTTACGTGTCTCTAGGATCCATGCGTCTCCTCCAGGTCTCCTGGCTCCATCCTGCTTCCTTCCTTCCTCAGTCTCTTCTCCAGCTTCCCCTCTTCCTGCTCAGCTCCACCCTTCCTTGGGTGGGGCAGGGAACCTGGAACCTCCCCCTTTCCTGGGGACCACCCTGTTACAAATCCACTGCAGGGAGAGCTGGGGAGGCCAATTCTAAGATTCAGGGTGTGAGCTAATCCAGGTGCTTGGGTGTGCCATTTGGGTGACTCAGGAGGGTTCCCCACTGGTGCAACTGGACAGAAGATGGGAATAGGGTATGCTCTTTGAGGTATTTTTTTTTTTTTCTTTCTAAGGGCCTCCTCTAATAAAATTCGCTGCCCCTGCCTCTCCCACCATCTGCTTGAGAACAAGGTGCCAGTTTGGCCCTCCCACCTTTAGGTTATGAGCCAGAGGAGGAGAGGACCCTGGGTCAGGGGAAAGAAAAGTGTGGGCAAGAGATCCTGGGCCCCCCGAGAACCCCTCACACATCACACAAGCCTGACCAAAATAAAATAAATCTCAGTTGGCTCTAAACAGTGCTTCCAACCAAGGGTCCTTTGGGTTTTTTACAGGGGCCGTGGGGGCAGCTCAGAAAAGTATTTGTGCCCAGACCAGTTGGGGAAGGCATCCCTGCTCAGAGGAGGGAAATACAAGTCTGCAGAGGCAGAAACGGTGCAACATGTGATTTACTTTCAGCCTCCAGCACATTTTTCTTTTCCTTCATGAACGAATTTCCAGTGAACTCTCCTCCAGTGATTTCAGTAGGCTGCCTCCCTGCTGCGCAAAAGAGTAACAGTTCTATGTGAGCCCCCCTGAGGGGAGTAAGGCAAAGCCTTGCTCACCACAGTGGCATGTGGCTGTTGACCATTTGTACTGATGCTAATGGGGAGGACATTTTCTATTCTCTTCTATTCAGACCTGGAGTAGATTTGTCTAGTTTGACGAGAAACAGTTGAAGAAGTTCTTAACCAGCACTAGCATGACTATGTTGACCAGTTTATAATAAACACTTAGGTTCCCCTCCACCTCCCCATTATAACTTCTAATTTTTAAGTAATTGTTTCCACTGCTTGGGATTGATTCAATGTAGCATAGTGACCCAACTCAAAACTATAATTTTCAGGAACTGCCTGGAATAGGCCCTTTCTTCATTTCAGAACACATCTGCAGTTTGTTAATTCCTCAAGTAAAGCTGGGGAGGGCCTCAGCTCAAGGGCCTTGAGATTCTGTCACTCAAGTTTCCTTTTGCGCATGGTCCATCAGTTTTCATGTTGGGTGGAGTCCAAGGAAGAATTTATTTTCCATGAAAATACAGGGCAAAGTGTCCCCTTACAGTCACGCTGTAACATTTTAGCATTTTTATAGCATTAGTAACATGAAAGGAAAGGGTTCTTGGTTTAGTGTCAACTCCTTTAAAGGAAATTGGCTTGTAGGCCAACTGTGCTTATCCCCTGAGTAGGAGGCCAAGTCATCATTTCCCAGTCCCTCATAGTGTTTTGTATCCAAGCAACATCTTACAAAATAGGCGGGCTAGGCTAGACGTGCCCTGGAGCTCACCCGTACCCACAGGGAATGTTCAACTTACAGTGAAAGCTCTGACAAATTGTAAATGTTTGCGTTTTTCTTCAACTCTACCTAACTATTGAAAATATTCTGGGAATTTAAGTCTTTCCCTGCTTTTCTCTAAACACGGTTTTTGCTTTAGAAAAAAGAAAGCCAGGTCTTCTTTTAACTCTTCTCCCAAAACATCAGAATTTGGTGATAAAAAAGCTCATGTTAAGAAATGGGACTAAAGGTTTTTAAAAGAAGGAATTGAGGTAAACCTTTCTAACTGGCTTTTTATTTTACTCCATTCCTAGTCAGTTATATGTTATTACTCTCTCATGAGGAAAGGAAAGCAGCAGATATTAGTTGTATCGGAATGGAATTATAAAGACATTCAGGGTCATGGCAGACTAATAGACTGGCTTTGAGATTTGGGCAATTCTGTTTTCTCCTATTTTCTACAAGCCCTACCACTCCCTGTTGTCTTACATATCTCTCACTGTAATCTACATTCCCTCTCTCAGTCTAATCTTTCTTCCTTGACACGCTGTGTGAATTTAAGTTTGACCTACGACATTATAGCTCAATTCCCATGAAGGCAAAAACCCTGCCTAATATTCTGAATTATCCAACATGGATATTTTCTAGGGTCTACTTTTTCCTAAATTATTCAACCAGGGCTTTAAGGGGAGACTTTCCTAGATAAATGTAGAAAATGTAACACATACAAGCCTAGTGGCAGACTTTTAGTCCTGAAAAGAATCAGAGAAATTATTTACTTCAATCTGCTTTTTCACAGATAATGGAGTCAGCTCAGAGAGTTAGGTTACTTACCCAAGGTCTCGAAGTTAGGACAGAGTTAGGTCTAGAAGAAGAATCTTCTTACCCTTAGTTCTCAAACCTGGGGTGATTTTTGTCCACCAGGGGACAACTGGCAGTGTATAGAGATACGAGTGGGGACAAGGTACAAGATAATTCCTCAGACGAAGACCTGCCCAGTTCAAGATGTCAATGGTGTTAAGGTTGAGAAATTCTGGGCCAAGCCTAACCAGCCCTCTTCCTACTTGAGCATGGTCTCAGCTTGCCGCACTTTTTGTTATTTCCTAAGAATTATCACTATAGAGGTCTATCACTATAGACCATCCTAACTTTAGCAAAAACAAATCAGTACATGTGCAAGTGTGCAGTGTTATTTTAATCACAAAGTTAAACTATGAATCATGGGACTGTGAGGGAAAAAATTCAGTGTATTTCCACACTTTCAAGGCTAATACCTCATTTTGACATCTGAGACCAGTCAGATGACTTTTAATCCTGTATCTTCACATCTTGTTCTTCTTAAAAACTCCACTTGCCAAACCCTTGGCTTACTTTCCTTTTCTTAAAACATGGAGAGAAATTCTCACACCATGTGGGGCTAAGGGACATGTAGAAGAGATTTTGCTAGGGGCTCTCACCTTTGGTGGGAGTTTACCTGTTTTATCTGATGGAGATGGAGGCAGGTGTAGAGTCTTGCTCCTATGTCAAAGAAGTAAAAAATTTAAGTGAGGAGAAAATACACTCATGTAAAAAAAAAATCTAATACACATACTGAGGAAACATATTCATCTGAAGAAGTATTCTCTAAAGGTTCCATCATCTCAGTGTTGACTGAGAGCTAATTTCTGTATTGATTTAAAAAGGCTGAAAAGTTCAATCTTATCCATCTGGGGGCAGAATTTTTCATTTCCATTGCCAGGAGCAGACTCCATTGTGATATTAGAAGAGGTGGGAATAGATCATGTCGTTGAGCTTCTTGTGGTGTTCTAAGAAGGTGTCATCTTTAAGAAAATATGTGCAAATGCTTCATTTCCTTGGGTGAAGCAGGTGCCATGGCATTTTGTGGTCTTATGTGATATATCCCTTTATAGTCAGTGAAGTCATTGGTTATATTGCCGAGTCACTGGATATATGTGTTTGGGTGACAGAGGCCAGGGTTATAATCTGTCCTACTGCTGAGGTCAGAGTGGGGGAGGAGAACACAGATACGGCCATTCAAAAATCATGCACCCACTCTGACACTATATTCATGTCCTAATTTTTAAAGAAACCTTACTACATTTTAGGATAAAATGAGTATTTCTCAACAAGATCAATTTTCTTGATTATTTTTGCCCCCAAAGCCAGAATTAAGTTGTATGCTCAACTAAGATTTATTTAGTCTGAGTTTTTGGATATAAAGGATCTCTTTTATCACTTTGAGGACTTGATGTTTAGTTTTCTATTTTTATGCTAATAATCTTTCATGCTATTATATCTACTATTTATTAGTATAAGTTGCTGCAAATATAGAGGAGGTATAAGTAAATCTCATTTTAAAATTCCTACTATTTCTCTTTTTCTTTTTTAGTATCCATGCTGAGAGCATACCCCTTGGGGTCTCTGCTTTTTGATTGTATTGCAGAAAGGAAAAGTCTTCAATTCACCCCCTTTCATCTCATGTTTCATTGAGAAACCCCACTTTCATTTCATGGGTTACATGTTTATGTTGGCCAACTCCCTTGGGATGTGTGGTTTACCCACTTGTTTGATCACATGTCCTACCTATTAAGATGTTTTGGGTATTCATTCTCAATATTTATTTTTTCTTTCTTTCATTCAGTAAATATCTTTTAAGGAATGTCTTATGTTCCAGGCACTGGAGTTTATATACTCTAAGTAGTCTCTATTCTCTGGCCCTAAAAATTAGCTTCACTTCAGCAGAACACACAGGTTCTCCTGCACCAATATAATGTGTGCACTGAGAGTTAGATGTGTGAGTGTGGAGACTGAACATAACCCCTCAGAGTCCAGAAAGAGAGAGAAGTACACAATCTCTTGAATGCTGTTCAAGAGAATATATGGTAGCAAATTAGTCCCAGCAACAAACTAACAACATACTTACACTTCAGGAAGGTCTTCTTGTGTTTTATGGATCCTCTCAAATTTCCATGACAAAGGAATGTCTGAATTTTGTCCTACTTTTGTTTCTTCTTGGATTCTGGGGGTCTGTATTCTGTCTTTGCCTCTCATCCATCTATCTCATTCATGATTTATCACTTTAGAGTGTCTCTAGTTTGACTCATGAAATAGCTATTTGTTGTGAAGAAGTGATATTTCATGTTTACTGCTAAAATACCCTGCTAGGGTGAGAACAAAATGGCCATATTTGATGATGAGTGATGTTAATAATAACAGGTGATTAAGAAGGGAACTAGGAAGTCCAACAAGTACATGGAAGCGTGTCTTACTTGGGCTGCTGTGTGCTCTCTCGTTTCCCTGCAGATTAATTGGCACGGCCTCTGTTGCCCTGAAGGACCTGATTGGAGACCAAAGCAGGTCACTGCCCTACAAACAGATCACCCTGCTAAACGAAAGAGGACAAGACACTGGGGTGAGCATTTCCTTCCTGTTGGATATTTTTTTAAGATTTGTTTATTTATGCATACAAGAAATGGGGTACAGCCAGAGGCATGGGGGCTAAGAGGATTCACCAGAGACAGAGTGGGGAACAGAACAGGTAGACTGACAAATACACTGCTGAGGGGAGTAGCTGGAGAGACAGGAGAGGTCTGCTGTGCCATGTAGGTAGCTCCCTGACCAGCTGAGATCAAACTCGTGCTGCAGAGCCTGCAGATAGTTTCATAGGGCTGTGCTTATTAACCTCTTGCACCACCAAGTAGGCCCCCTATTGGATGGTTTTGAAGTGTGATGGTTAAGTGAAAATTTACTAAGAAAAGAGTATGGCATTATAATTAGCTCACTACACAGAAAGCAGAAATTAGTTTTGGGATTAAACAAATTATATAGTCTAATACTCTCATTCACAGAACTAGCAAATCAGATAAATTTGATTTTCTATGACAGAATGCTCTAAGAGTGAGACCTTCTGTTGGTGTCACTGCGCATCTTTCCAGTGTGTGTTAACATTTGTGGTGACTGTCCCTCTATGTTATCACACACTCCTTGAACTGTTATATAAAGAAAACTCATTAATATTACTTTGGAATATCAAGATGCAAATATTAAGATCATTATTATTGTATTGGCAGCTGAATGTTTTCTGATCACAGCCTCTCTAGATAAGTACATATTGATATTATCTAATGTAAGATAAGAATCCTCTTGCTCATATACTGTAAAAAGGAATTGACTCAAGTATCACAGCTTTGAGGTTCCATATGATTGCGCTTAAGTGCTCATAAAACCACCATGCTTGCCACTTTAGCTCCTTCATTTTTCCTTAGCCACCTAGGCAAATAAAGAACATTTTATACTAAAAGAGACCAGTCCTGAAGGCAAGAATACAGGTCAGGCATCTCAACATCCATTAGCAATGTTAATTTTGCTGGTCTAGTCAAAACATAAAGATTTGCTGTAAGCACTTAGAATGTGGGAATCTAATCATGCTTGGAAATCAACATTCTAAGCATAAATGTAAATTCCAAATGTTGGCTATCACCCATCTACCAAAAACCTGGCTGAGAGAAATGACACTTAGGTAGGATGGTACAAGTTAGTGATTTTTCTGGCTGCTTGTTTTTAAGCACAGAAGAAAACATATGTAGATAGACCCCTGACATGGCAGAATTGTGATGAATGAGTGGAATAAGGAAAGTTAAGGGACTCAAGTCTCCCCCTTGACACCTTCCTACCCCCACCCCCCTGCTAGGGATCCCTGGATCCACCTATGGGAATCCCATTTAAAAAGCTACTGATCCAGAGATTGAGCCATTCATGTATTCTTCTGGTTTAAAATTTGATCTTTCAATTCAGTTTGGCAATTGAGCCCCTTTGTCTTCCTGCATTTCACCGTCTGAGTGTAGCCTGGCTCTTTCTAGCAATCTAAGATGCTGTTCCAGTGATCATTTGCCATGAAGCTGCTGTTAGGGACATTATTCATTTTCCTTGTTCAGTGTCTCCCAGGCCATAATCCCTACATTGACCACAGAATATGCTGATCCATGAAGAAGTATACACTGCTCAGCAGACACATGGGATATCCATTTAAATTTGAACTTCAGCTAAACAATGAATGATTTTCAGTATAAACATGTGCTAAATGTTGTGTATTATTTCTGGGATTTTATGTGGTCGTGTGGGTGATGTGTGTGCACACATGTGCATGTGTCATCCTTTCTGAAGTTGTCCTTCCTCATTTCTGCTGTGAAAATACCTTTATTTTTGAAACGATAGTAATAGTAAATGGTAGTATGTGTTTGCAAGGTACGAGTTAGCAACTCTATGTTCAGACCCCCTAACATTTTTGAACTTTTGTAGATTCATGATTTATGGAATACAAAAGTATTTCTGCCCTAATTATGCTTCCCTAAAGTATTGCCTGTGTATATTCTAGGTTTTCTTGAGAGCTCATAAATCTTTTGCCTTTTACTTTTGCCCAAGTGAGGAATTTTTAAAGGTTGAATTAATTTATCTTCTGTAAGGAACTGGCGTGTTTCTTCTTTTCTGATAATGAAATTTATATAACATTTTTGTTCTCATTTTTGCCTTGGCTCCTGGCCATCCTGGGGTCACATTTTATGCAAGAGGAATGGCAATTACCATGAACTCCATGATTTGCATAGTTGTTTCCTCTTTAATCAGGCTTGATTCCTTTTTATCATCTTATTTTATAAATCACATTGTTATATAATTTCTTCTTAGTTCCTTAAAATTTTTTGTACAGAGAAGTGTGAAAATAAATCCTAGCAATTAATGAGCAAACAAACAACTTAAGTATTTAAAAAGAACCGCTGTGCCTTTAATTCTGTGATTGGAGCCCATCTCCAGTGTAGGGTGGAGGTTAACTACAAGTTCATGCATGCTTATCTCAACTTTCTTCCAGTTTATGAGGTTGTCCCTCAGCAGCGAAACACTTGGCAATGTATTGGGTAACTCCTTTCCCAGGCTTCGGGCCTTCATACTCCACCTGGGTCACGCTGGGAAGATATGCATCATCCTCTGTTCTCCATTTCCCCTGCTCCCATCCCCCTGCTCACCTTTTCTTAGGACTTTAACTCCTGGTGATGTGATTTGCATTGAGTCCATAATGTTCCAGTGCCCTGCACTGATACTATCTGTAATGAATTATTCCACCCAGGCCACCATTGACTTGGTGATTGGCTATGAACCACCTTCAGTTCCACATCCAAATGACCCCAGTGAGACCAGCGTGCCAGGGATGGGAGGTAAGCTGACCCTTCATGAAGCCCTAGCCTACCCAAGGGAATCTCAAAGCCTTCCTTAGCATTACACTGTCTGTACCTCTCTGCTCTCCTGGACACCGACCCCATGAGGCAAGTGAAGCCGCTTTGAATCAGGACATCAAAATTGTTTACAAAATGCCCTTATTGAACAGCCTCATGGTGATTGTGTCCAGCACACAAACTCCAACAGGAAGTCCTGGGCAAGGCTTTGCTTCAGTTTGTGGCTTCCACCCTATACATATGCCCTGGTTGTGAGGTTCCAGGTGTGTACTCTAGTCTCTTCACGTGTTTCTTCACCTCTTAAATGTGCCATTACTGGGCCGTGTTCTCAGCCACCAGTGTCATGGTCAGCCCTTAGAGCACAGCTTCTTTCTCTTTGCCTTTGCCTTGACCCACATGTAACCCCCAGTCATATGCTTCCTATTCACTGCATCTGGCAGTATCAGGGATCCCAAAGAACTTGTGAAGATCTTGGCCAACTACTATTGCAGAGCCTGGTGGGAGTCCTTTAAAACCAAGGACTTCCCTTGCCCATGTATAAAGTCAATTTTCCCCTCACTGGTTTATGCCCAAGTGCCTACTCCAAGTGGCACAGAGTTGTCCCTTGAAGGGCTAGCCTTGGGTTGGAGTTCAGATCCCATTCAGTTCACTGATTGTAGCAGGGGGGATGTCAGACGATAGATTCTGGTAGGATAGTTGTTTTGGAATTGGGAGGATATGAAATTCTTTGCTGATTGCTTGTTTTCTCAATGAAATAAGAAGTAAGGTCATTAGCTGATGGTGAGAAGGACAGTGACAGGATGTCAGAAGCTTTCAAGGTGTAAATTAGGTGGAGTTTAAAAAGTAGAGTGGGGTCTCTCCGGTAGCAGAGGTTGAGCGCTGGGCTGTGAAGCTGCCCTCAGCCTCTGCAGTGCCCATTTGTTCCCCTGCTGGCCGGTGAGGGTCCCACATGGCATGCAGACCTCTCCTGCCGCACCCGCTGCTCCCTTCTGCAGTGTATTTCGTCAGTCTGCCTGTTCTGCTTCCCACTCTGGCTCTGCTGAATTCTCTCACCCTCCTGTGCTTCTGACTATACCCAGTGCTTGTATAAATAAATAAATCTTAAAAAAAAAAAAGTAGAGTGACTTGACCTTATTGGCTAATTAGTGGCCATCACACCAGGATCCAAGAGAACTTTGAAGTAGATCCAGGAAAACTTAGGAGCATGTTAGGTGATCAAGAAGTTCTGTAAGCCCTCTTAAAGTTTGTGACATTAAAGGGAGACCACTCATTAAGGTGTATGCTCTCAGCCTAGACCAGCTGCCTGAGTGAAGGGTAGAATATGTATAGAGTTAATTGAACCAGGTGAGTACAATGAACTGAGAGAAGGGATGGGGTTGAGGGTGTGTAGAGAGGGTTGTGGTATTAGACCACAAAATCTAACACAGGTTAGGAGAAAATTAAGGACATGAAGGAAGTGGAGTGGGAGAGGACAGGGTAATCTAGTGCCGATAGATTGGGGCTCCCTTTGTAGCTGCAGACTTGTGGACTGGAGTAAGAGATGGAGAAAACTGGAAAGGTACAAAAAATGCCCTCTGTAGTAGGTTGAATTGTCCCCATCCCCAAAATCCGTTTATATGGGACCTCAATATTTGACCTTATTTGGAACAAGGCCTTTACGGATATAATTAGTTAAAATTAGGGTAGACCTTAAATCCAATGACTGGTGTCCTGCAAGAGAGGTGAGGGCACATGGACAGTGGGGAGAGCACCATGTGATGAGAGGCAAAGTTGGGGTGATGCAGCTACAAGCCAAGGAATACCAAGCATTTAAGGATTCACCCATTAGAGGCATGGAAGGATTTTTTCCTAGAGACTTCCAAGGAGCATGGCCCTGCCAAAACCTTGGTTTTGAACTTCTAGGGTTTGGAACAGTCATAGAATCAGTTTCTATTTTTTTTTTTAAGGATTTATTTATTATTTATATAAGCACTGGGTACAGTCAGAAGCACAGGAGGGCAAGAGAATTCACTAGCTAGAGTGGGGAGCAGAACAGGCAGACTGATGAAATACACTGCTGTGGGGCAGCGGGCGTGGCAGGAGAGGTCTGTCGTCATGTGGGACCCTTGCCAGTGGCTGGGGATCGAACCGGCACTGCAGAGGCTGAGGGCAGCTTTGCAGCCAGCACTCAACCTCTGCGCCACCAGGGGAGGCCCAGTTTCTATTGTTTCAAGTCACCTTGTTTGTGGTACTTTGTTACAACAGCCTTAGGAGGCAAATACAGCCAGTAGCTTCCTATTCAGTTCGTAGCTTAGAGTTGCCCTCTGTGACTATGAAAGAGTCATTGTGGATTCCCTTGGCTGTGGTTGAAGCTCATGCCTGGATCTTATTAAGGGAACATGCCAAAAAACCACTAAGATTGGGTAATGAAACAACTGTGTAGGAGGGTGTGTTCAGCAGTGCCTTAAGGGCTCCCTCCACTTTTTGTGGAACACTTAGGGTAGCATTGTTTAATCCTGTGCAGCTTCCTGCCACATAAAGAAGCAGTTTCCTCCTCAAATTGCCTTCTGCTGCCATGTAGAGATTTGGGCAGTAGCCATGACTTAAGTAGATTTCCTCTGATCCATCCTTAAAGTCTAAATAACAGGAGGTGTTTCCAGAAGAAATTGGTTCTTCATGACCCGAGGTTTATTTCTGGAACAGTCAAGAATTTAATGGCCCCTTGTTTGGAGGCCAGCATCACAAAGGGGTATGTAAAGCCCCACCTGGTCCTGGGATGACAGAAGGGAGATAGTCTGAGTTGTTGGAGGAGCTTAAATCCATGTGACCCAGCCATTTTGCAGTCCAGACCAAGCTTGCAGAAGGGGAGCGTGAACTCCTTGCTTTCCTGAGGCTAGTCCAAGGATGGGAGGAGCACCCCTCTAGCTGTCTGGGTGCTTGCTCTTCCTGAGAACTGTGCAGGAGCTTTGCTAACCACTCAAAAATATGAGAGGACATGAGGAGGAATAGGAACTCAGAGTTATTTACCATTCTATGTTTCATCAAGCCCCTTCTCTGTCCTGGGATTTCTGTAAGGCATGACAGAAAGGGGGCAGACACAAGAAGTAAAGGGCATTCTTCCTGCTTCTGAGGAGTGTATGGTAGTGGAGAGGTCTGTGGGTTAGCACTAGATAAAGGCTGTGTGGTGAGGATGTAATAGAAAATATGTGGTAAATATGAGAAGGTGTGACTCACTCCATCTAGGAGAGTCAGGGAGGGTCTGTCTGGCCTAAGACAAAGTATTTATTTCATCAGGAACTTAACGCATTGAGGGACTTACTGGAGGAGAATAAGGAACAGTATTTTAATGGTTTTAGGAACACCAAGATGGGAGCAGGCAAATCCTCCTTTTAACTTCTTCAAGAACAGAGACAAAGAGATCCCAATTATCTTGCAGAGGGTAAGCTTTAAAGAGCAGTGCTACATGGCAACCTGATTGAACTATTTTTTACTAGGATGTGAGTGACTGACAGGTGACCCCATGTGGAAATTAAATATTTTATATGATTTTGCATGTAAAGGAGGGAATGTAAGTTATTGTATTTTTTTTGACAATGTGATTAGCCTTCTAGGCCCTTAATTATATTGAATTCACACTTTTTATTAGAAGAGTTAAATTTGTCAGCAAATTTCAAGAGTTGTGAATAAAAGAAAGGGAGACCTTGAGGGGGAAGTTAATTGTGTTGTTGTGTGTTTTTTAAGGAGAGAAAGCTCTGTGCATATTTGAGGGTCTCTTCACAGAGAAGAGACCATTGCAGATGTTGAGAGAGAGAGAGAGAGAGAGAGAGAGAGAG